TGTAATTAAGTCAGTTCTAAGAGAGCTGAGCGGCTAGGTCAGTACTCCGTGTTCTAGTGATCTTTGGCTATGGAGTGGAAGCTTACATTAATATTCTGAGCAGTTTATCAAACTTAGGCTGCCTCATCTCCATGGAAGCCAGCAGCTGGAAATGCTAGAGGCATTTGGACCCCTCCTTCCATCAGCAAATTCAAGGAGGGATAAAATCCAGTGCTAGCCTGATAGCTCCCACAATGTTTACGAACTAGCTATCAAAGAGGGAAATAGACACGACTGATCTAGTCTAAAGATCTGAAAACGTTACTGTTCTGTTTGCCCACCTGATAAACGGACTCATCACCACACATCACACATCACACATCACACCGGTGTGTCTCTTTGTGCCTCTAGGCCTTCGAGTCCTCCTGGATAGTATACATAAATTCTCTGTCATGGAAAAGGTCACTTTCTGGAACTGTAAATTGAAATGTGTTGGCTGTGTAAACTTATCAAATGAGTTTTGCAGGTGGGAGAGATCTTAATTAAAGAGCTGCTTTGAAATAAAGAAGAGAAATAACACATTTTTCATTTTGTTTGCCTTCCCACCAGCCATATTCACTTTAAGGACCTCATTTCTATCTTTCTTATGTAATGGATGACATTCAATTCGCTTTCCCAATAGATTCATTTTCTAAGAGTTAACAAAGTCAAGAATATATGGTAGGTTATTGGAGTTTCTGCTTAAAACCACCAACAGCCCACACCGTGATTCTATTTTCTTACAATCATTTTCTGAGAGGCTGCTTCAATCCCTCAGTGCTCTCTCTCTCTCTCTGTCTCTCTCACTCATGGGGGAAACAAATAATTTTAGAGAAAAGAGGATGAAAAGGCAATCTACAGAATAAGAGAAAATATTTGAAAAATTGCCTATGTGATAAAACAATCATATCCGAAATATGTAAAGAATTCACAAAACTCAATAAACAACCCAACCGTTTTTGAAGAGACAGGAGATTTAAACTAATTTAAATAAAGAAGACATACGAAGGCTGGCTCCATGAAGCATCAGAAAGTACTACTCAAGAGAAGCCAGATCTCACATGGCAACCAAGGCTCGGACACTGGCCAAGTCAGCTTGAGACATGGCAGGCGCATGTGTGAGTTCCAGGGTTCAACAGGCTGAAGGGCAGAAGGAAGGCGATTGCAGCATAACCTGACCTTGCAGAGGGTGCTCATCTCTCTCTCCCTACCTCTCACGTGTCTCTGCACATGCTCTCATAAATGAAGCTTTAAAGTTTATTAGCCATACGAATGGCTAATAAGCTCATGCGAAGATACGCAACATCCTCAATTATTAAGGAAATGTAAATGAAAACCATAATGAAATATACTACACATTCATTAGAATGTCTAAAATGGAAAAGATCAACTATACCAAGTGTTGGCAAAGATGTGGAGGAACTGGAACTCTCATACTGCTGAACGGATTGCTGATAAGAAAAATGGTACAACTTTGGGTGACAGCTTAGTTTGTTCTTAAAATTTTAAACATATAATTATATAACCCAGACAGTCTATTTCTAGGTTTTTATTAAAAAAGAGTATGTATATTCATTGAAAAGACATGCACACCAATGTTCATAGAAGTCTTAATCATAATAGCCCCCAAATAGAAATAATTCTAATGTCTATAAATAAGTTGTGGTGTATCAGTACATCCACATAAAGAATATTCCTTAATGACAAGAGGAAATATACTTCTGGTATATATAATAACATGAAGGCATCTCAAGATACTTATGCTGCATAAACAAAGCCGGACCCCAAAAGAGCATATACTATATATTTCCATTTATGTGAAATGTACAAAATGAAAACTCTAATTTTAGAGAGCAGATCAATGATCACCTGGGGATGACGGCATGGGGATGGGGTGAGTGTGGGTGGCAGAACCACCAAGGGGCAGGAGGATATTAATGGGATAATGGAAATAGTCATTATCTTGATTGTGGTGATGTTTCACAGGCTCAATCATCAAAATGTATCAACTTGCATACTTTAAATATGTTCAGTCTATTGTATGTTGATTATATTTCAAAAAAGCTGTTTAAGAAAAAGGCTCATGTTCAAGTCACAGTTGTGTGATCTCAGACAAGTCTCTTGACTTCTCTTGCCTGAGTTCCCCCAGGAGGTAAATAGGAGAATCAACACGCACCTTCCAAGGCTGTTGTATCAGGTGCAACCTGCGACAACGGCTCTCGCAAAAGCACTGTGTCAATGGCAGGTGCAGCATCTTGTCCTCCCATAAAGAACTTAATTCTCCTGGGCCTGCCTCTCAGCTTAGTGGTTCACGGAGCTGGATCCCACGTGGCCAACTGTGGTTCAAGTCCCAGCCCTTAAGTCTTGGGAAACACTCTGGGCATGGGTGTGTGCATGCCCCAAATCCTGACAGGTTGGAGATGAAAGAGAAAGGATTGCAGCATGGACATGTCCCAAGGGAGGGGTCTCTTTCCCACCCTCTCTGGCAAGCACATGTGCTCTCTGACAACAACAACAAAACAAAACAAACAAACAAAACTTAACTTTCCTATTAATCCGTCAGCAGAATGACAGTGTTCTTCACCAGGTCATATCTTTCATCTTCAGAAATCAAAGGACATGATTTTTTGAAGCTTAGGTAGTTATATATCTTAATTGCCTTTATAAAGTGAGATGAGAAAAATTGGAACCCACAGGGGAATTATAAACAGCACGTAAGTATCTGTAGCTTTGTGGAGAACTCAGGAAAACTGACCTTGCCTATCCCCCATAGACTCAATAAATTCAATAAATTCAAGGCCCCCACCTTCACACACACACACACACACACACACACACACACACATTCACATGATCAAAATAACTATAAAAAGAAAATTTAAAAAATGTTAGAGACCTCACTTTGCTTTAGCGTTAGGCCCCAGACGAGATCCTGACTCGTGATTCGCAGGCTCTGTGACACCTTGGACAGCTCTCTCCACCTGGCTGAGCCTCGGTCTCCACTCCTGGAGAACACTGTCCCGCAGGATGCTACGAGAAAGAAACAAGACCCATGCAAAGTGCCTTGGACAGCCCCTGGCACACCGTTCCCTAGGGTGACGCCTGGATTGTGGTCATGTGTGAATTCAAACTTCCTGGCCCAGGTCAACGCTCTGTTATCCTCTATTGCGAGTTCACCTGGATACTCCGGTAGGAGGCCATCCGATACCAGGTTCTCAGCTCTTGTTCTGGTGCTCTCCACACTGCACAACGTCATTTCTTTAAAAAGCTACCACGAACAATCTGCTTATTAACTAGAGGAAATGGCACCAAGAGATGAACTTGTCCAGGTTGAGAGACCAGGGTGAACCCCCTTGGGCCCTACTCCACGGTTACGAATTACCAGTTGAGTGCTCAGTGCGTGCCGGTCTCTCCATCGAGCCGCTCTGCGATTGCCATTACCCCTGAACCAGACGCCTTTCCAGAGCTCTACACCCTGTAACCCCGGCGCTGGACTGGGCAGGAAGAACAGAATCGCTGTCGTGGCAGCCGTGAACCACAAGATGGCGCACGACCCTCAGTTAGAGCAGTGAAGCCGAGGAACTGCAGCAGGGCATGTGTCAAAACAGATGAAAATGTATTTTAAGACAGTTGTTCTCTCATTCTTAAAATGGTACAGATAAACCAAAGAGCACAAAAGGAGATTCTGCTAAGGGACGGGAGCTGACAGGAGGAGGGGAGACAGAGACGACCCTGCAGAGCTGCCTGGGAGCTGCAGGACTCACCCTCTTGGAGGCCTACCCGGTCTTCTTGCTTTCCCCTGCTGGTGTTCTTGTCAGAGCTAGTAACTCCCAGATGAGCCCGACTAGGGATCCCTGCCCTGGAGGGCTTACTGGAGCCCTCACTAGACTTAAAAGTTTCTGAATTCCTCGTCTCCCATGAAGATGTGAGTGAAGATCTGGAATACCAAATCTCTTTCCCAGGTAAAAGCAAGGGCTTATTTTCACGCCCCCACCTATGTTCTCTGTTGCTGCACTTTGACTTCAAGCATCACATATTGCTGTGGTTTGACCGGTCGGTTTAATCTCCACCCCACTCAGATCTACTCAGGTCTGGGCTAAAGTGGTTCTGCCTGTCCTCTGAGCCACAGTTCCAGGCACCCCTCTGCTGCCAGGAGCTTTGTCTTCTTTCCAAGTTTATATTTTTCTCCTCACTTTATATCCAAGCAGCAAGTGGAAGGTAGACCATGGGAACTCTGAAATCAATTGCGCTACCTCCTCAGCAGCTCAGACATCTCGTTTTGCATGCAAGAGACTAAATGGTTGCCTAAAGTAATTAGAAGCCCTGCTTTTCAATCTAGTATCACCTCGCCTTTGAAGTCTTGAGGAAATGAAGTACAGACATATAGGCAAATAATTAGAATATCAACATGAAAGGATGGGGTGGTGGGTTTGAAATGGTTCCTAGTGAATGGGAGGGCAGGGGTTAGGTCTGGTTTAGGTGGGTAGAGGAGTGGGGCTGGGATAAGGAACCACATTCTCCTCAGAAAGCGGTACCTGAGTGGGGAGTGAGGATGGCGCGTTTGTAAGCAAGCAGCCATAGGCAGGCCTGTTCTGCAAGGGTGAAACAGAGAGACATCGAAGGAGAAGCCCTTACCACGGGCAGTTGCCAGGACCCGGGATGCCTGTATACCGCACCAGAGGGCCATGCACCTGCTCTGTGATGGACAGCCAGGAAGAAGTTGTCAGAAAATGGTTCATCTTTTAAATAGATTGCTCTCTCCTTGAAGTAGAACGTGGATGTAAGAGGGATATTCCTGACCATTGGGAAGCTAGTTAGGAAACTTGCCCAGTAATCTGGGAGACACGGTGGCCAGAGCCAGGACACTAGTAAAAGATATCGAGGGGAAACATCTGGAAGACCCAGTCACAAGGACCCCATCAACCGACTGCACGCAAGTTATCAAGGGTGCCTTCTGTGTTCTAGCTTCAAGGACTCAGGAGAAGGCGGCATCGCCATCTGAAATGGACCCTCACAGGAAGAGTTCATTTAGAAGGAAGTCCCTTTGGTGCCTGCTGAGTCTGACGTGCTGGGGGGCCCGCCATCCAGCTGGAGATGAGGGACCTGCAGGTAGATATACACAGCGGAAACCTGAGGGAGGGCCGAGGCAGGAGACAGCGATTTTAGAGACAGCGACAGACAGGTGCAGTTAACACCAGGAGGGTGGATCAGAGTGTTCTGGAAGGAAATGAAGAGGAAGAAAAGCAGTGGGGCAAGGCGGGAACCCTGGGCACAGTAAGTGGTGTTTGGTAGTGAGGAGGTTGCAGAAGTCAGATGACAGTGGGCTGAAGTGTGAGTGGAAGCGGAGTGGAGATGGTGAGAACAGATTACCTTCTGGGGTGCTGGATGAGAAGGGGTGCCCAGGACTGGGTAACGGGGGCTGGAGGGGTGGGGGCTGTGCAGGACTGAGCTGATACTGGGCAAAGGAAACTTCTGTTCTGCTGTGTTTTCATTTGTTTGGGGGATTATTTAGAACAGAAGAGCCTGACACGTTTCTGGACCGAGGGTAAGGAATGAGTAGAGAATGACGAGTTGAAGGTGCGGGAGAAAGGATATGAGGGGGACATAGTCCTAGGAGGGTGGAGGAGAAAGGCCGGAGATAAACGGGCTTGACAAAAGGGTGTGAGCCTTACCCTCTGAGCGTGGAGGGAAGAGTGCCAGGATGCATGCTGGGAACAGATAACTTTGTGCACTGAGAACTCCAAAAGCCGACTCTAAGCAAGAGAGCCGCTGAGACAAGATCGAAGGTAGAGGCCCTTGGAGGACCTCACTGCCCGCCCAATCCGGCACAGGCTCTGCAGCCAGGTGGCCTGGAGCCCAGCACCACATCCGCCACGTTGGGGCTGTTCGGCCTTGGGCAGGTGATCTGATCGAAGCTTGTTTATAAATTGGGAGTGATAACGAGGACCTCTCTTACAGGATGACTGCAGAACGGAGCACGATTCTGTGGGCTGGATGGATGAAATAACAGTGACGATGCTTGTGCAGCAAATCAAAGAGCCGAATGAGCCAGACCAACTCAAGGTCCAAGTAGTTTGATATTTTTGGGTTTTGTGTCTTTTTGCTGCCTCCCACAAGACTGAAAATAACTTCAGGGTAGAGGTCATCTGTCTTACTTTTCTTTGTCTTTCTAGCCTCCAGGCCAATGCTTCTTCTAGGGAGCCCTTGGTAAAGCTTGTTAAAGGGCTGAGTAAATTACCTGCAGTCCACCCAACAACAGCTCCAGGCCCTTGACTCAGCCAATGGAGGCCCATTCTGCTCCACCTCTTCCACCAGTGCTCCTTCTCTGCATTTACTACAATCCCTTCTTTAATCTTCCTTTTTGATCACTAGACAAAAGAATAATAACTGACATACCAGGGGTGGGTGTGCTCAAGATCCTGAGAGCTGGAGGGCTGGGGAAAGGGGCATAGCAGTGCGATAAGATCATGTTGAAAGTGCTTTTCTCTTTTGCTCATTCTCTCTCTCTCTCTCTCTCTCTCCCTCCCTCCCTCCCTCCCTCCCTCATGCACATTCTCTATCATGGATAAAAAGTCAACTTAGAAAGGTCAGCAGGTGGTGTGGTGAAGATGCTAGACACTCCCACGTGATTGACATGGTTCGAGTCCTGGACCTGGTGGCTTGCTTTCTCACTTGCCCTCTCTCTCTCTGTGTGTCTCTGTGGTCAAATTAAAACAAATGAATGGAAAAAATAATAAATGAATAAATAATTCTTTAAAAAAGTAAACTTAGAATAGTGACTCCTCAAATTGGGCTTTCTACTTCAGTTCTGGAAATGCAAAATCTCATTATTATTTATCATTAAAGTAAGGTAACCTATTTTTGCTGGTTACAAATGCCTAAAAAAAATTTTTTTTAAGAAAAGGAGAGGATGAGGACCAGCAGTTGGCATAATGGCTATGTTGCTGGACTCCCATGTAGTCGACCGCGGTTCAAATCCCGGACCTGATGGCTTAAACTCACGCCAGGCACGCACGTGTGTGTGTGTGTGTGTGTGTGTGTGTGTGTGTGTGTATGAGTGTGCGCACGCATGTGCGTGCCCAAGATCCCAAGAGGAGAATGGAGGAGAAGGGATTGCGGCATGACCATCCCCCCTGTCGGGTGATTTCTCACTTTCTGTCTCTCTCGGTTTTTCTGGAGAGCACACACACCCTATAGCAAAGAAACCTCTCCAAAAAAAAAAAAAGAGAGGATGGCATATTGATGGCAAAACATCTTTGAATTAAATGTTCTTGTGCATTTTCATCCTGTGAGCAGCTGGGCCTGGCAAGCCAGCTGGGTGAACTACCTGGCACTGGGTGCACCACACCTGGACCTGGCGGGCTGGAGAAAGGCCTGTAGCAGCAGTGGAGGCCGTGCCTCTCCGCGGTGGTGTCAGGTGCTCAGCCAGGTGAGAGGCAGAGTGTGGTCTTGGCTCCTGAGAAGAAAAGCAGCCGCATGAATAATGGAAGCCGCAGACACACCTTCCAAAGCTGGGCCTCCTTGCCAGGTTTTTCAGCTTTAGCCACTGCCCTCCCCAAACAAACAAAAACCTTTAAAAAATCAACGTGTCCTTAAGGCCCAGCTTCTCCTTGGCTCTCCTTGGCTTCCTCTGGTGAAAGCAGAAGTGCAGGTAAAATGCCACCTACACACGTTAGAGGGCAGCGGACAGCAGTGTGCAGGGGACTAAGCAGAGGAATCTGGAGACTATGAACTGCAGCTCGCTCCTTCCCCAGACAAGCCCGGCCCTGGCCACGGAGCCTTTGCGAGGGACCTTCCTAGGGATAAAATCCCCCTGACGGGCCAGTGGGAGGCATGTGGCTGGGGTGCTAGGTTCCCACATGGGCAACAGTGGTTCAAGTCCTGGACCTGGTGGCTTGAAAATCACAACAAATAATAGATAGATAGATAGGTAGGTAGATAGATGATAGATAGATATATGTTTTTTCAAAAAAAAAAGAATTCCCATGGTACTGGCAAAAAGCCTAACACTCTAGGTCCTCCATACCAAATCACTCCCTTCTGTCTACCAGACATCAGGCTGCAGTTAAGAACAGGCAGTAAGTCCCTCAGAGAGAAACTTGGTCCTTTCCCTCCCAGGGCATGCTGGGAGCTCACTAGACATATCTGAGCTCTTCCTGGGCCACCTGTGTGATTCCTTCTCTTTAGCATTAGACACGGGGCAGACACGCCAGAAATTGCCTGAGCCTTGGTTAGATCCCTGCATGCATCCCCATTTCTGTTGGGTTTAAGAACCACTTATGGGGACCAGCAGTTAGCGTAATGGCTATGTCGCTGGACTCTCATGTAGTCAACTGTAGTTTGAGTCCCGGACCCAGTGGCTTAAACTCGCGCCAGGCATGTGTGCATGCATGCCCAAGATCCTGAGAGGAAAATGGAGGAGAAGGGATTGTGGCGTGACCATCACCCCTGGGGGGTGATTTCTTGCTTTCTGTCTCTCTGTCTGTCTTTCTGGCGAGCACATGCGCCCTATAACAAAAACCTCTCCAAAAAAAAACAAAGAACCACTTATCTGGGAATCATGCTGGAAAGTGTGGAGGGAGCTTATTAAAGCAGACTTCTGGGCCAGCAAGTGGCGTGGTGGTTAAGGTGCTGGACTATCACATGGCAGACCACCATTCCAGGCCTGGACCAGGCGGCTTGCTTCCTCACTTTCTTTCTCCTCGTTTTTCAACTCTCTCTCTGGTGAGCACACATGCCCTACAGCAAATTTAAAAAAAAAAAAAAGATAATAAATAAAATTTAAGAATTCTTTTAAAAAATGAATAAGCAAATTTCTGGGGATCAGTTCTTGGGATGGAGGCTAGACCACGAACCTGCATTTTGTGCAAGCTCTGAGAGGTTCTGGTGCGGGACCACACTCAAAGTAGCTGCTCAAACCCAGGGACGTCCCCGAGCAGCGCCTTGGGCTTGGTGCCATGCCCTATATATGATTAGATCCACACGCCCTGCTGCCTTGGGCCCGTAGGCCACCCAGCACGTGTTTGCTGGCACACCTGGAGTGCACAGCTGCTGTGGCCACATTTATAAACACCCACGCTGGGGCAGAGGAGGCGTAGGGGAAGGATGGCTGGCCTTTCCTTCTCCCAGTGCTCTCCTCTTCACGCTCCTGCTGGTCACTTCTGGGTACTGGTTTCCTCATTTCCTCCTCACTGCTCAGCGCACCCAGGACTTAAAGGCCGCTACACATTCTGCTCAGGGTAACCCTTGGTGCAAAGATACTCTGTGACCTGAGCACCCTGAGGCACTAGCAGCATTTCGGGGAGGAGTGGGTGTGAACGTGACATTAAACAGGCACATCCAGTCCCATTCCAGAACTGAGAAAAAGTGTGTGGAACTGAGAAATGCTTTCTCTCCTTTTTGCATAATTGAATGTAACTGTATTCAACCGGAATCCACCGAGTGCCTGCCATGAGGAGAGCCTCTTTTGGGGGCAGGAGTGGGGTGATGATACAGGAGGGGTGAGGTCCTCCTCAGGGCCTAGCTGTGGTGCAGGGGCAGGAGTGGGGCCATTACACAGGAGGGGTGAGGGCCTCCGCAGGGCCTAGGACCTAGCTGTGGTGCAGGGGCAGGAGTGGGGCGATTACACAGGAGGGGTGAGGGCCTCCTCAGGGCCTAGGACCTAGCTGTGGTGCAGGGGCAGGAGAGAGACCATTACATAGAAGGGGTGAGTGCCTCCTCAGGGCCTAGCTGTGGTGCAGGGGCAGGAGTGGGGTCATGACACAGGAGGGGTGAGGTCCTCCTCAGGGCCTAGCTGTGGTGCAGGGGCAGGAGTGGGGCCATTACACAGAAGGGGTGAGGGCCTCCTCAGGGCCTAGCTGTGGTACAGGGGCAGGAGTGGGGCGATGATACAGGAGGGGTGAGGTCCTCCTCAGGGCCTACCTGTGGTGCAGGGGCAGGAGTGGGGCGATTACACAGGAGGGGTGAGGGCCTCCTCAGGGCCTAGCTGTGGTGCAGGGGCAGGAGTGGGGCGATTACACAGGAGGGGTGAGGGCCTCCTCAGGGCCTAGCTGTGGTGCAGGAGGCTACCACTGAAGAACCGGAAGTGAATGGATTAGGGAATCAGAGTTAGAGACGGCGAAAGATGCTACCTACAAATGGATGGGGTTCTGTGGCAGACATGCAGCAGGGAGGTCAATCTCAGAATGGGGGTCAGGGGAGAACTGTCTGAGAACATGACCAGAGGAAGAGGATCCCAGGGAGGGGGAAGTTATTGCTGTTGACTCCCCACCTACAGTTTCCAGGCCTTCCAGACCTGTGAGGGGAGAAAGAAATATTGATCGTCGAACCTCTCTGGTCACCTTCCAGATTTCTCATGAAGATGAACGATGACAATGGAAAGTGGAGCAATCTGGAGGAGAGCTTTGCCGCTGGCCCTCCCAGGAAGCACCTGCTTCTCTGAGAGCCTGAATTCACAGCAGACAGATGCGTCGCGCCCCTAGCAAAAGGCAAGAGTTGTAATAATATCCTCTCAGACCCCTGGCTTTTAGAAAGTTCCTTTTGCACCTGAAATTGTAATGAAGGAGAGAGAAAGGAAAGAACTGACGGACAGAGCGGCTGCCTGGGGACCACGGGCAGGGGTGAGGAGGACAAGAGGGCACACTTCCCCCAGTGGTCCCGAGAATGAATGGGGGCATCTTATTCTTGCCCTTACCTTTGCGGTGCTGAGCAGATGCAGGTGAGGCTGGAAACAAATCTACCTTAAAATGCCCCCGCTGGAGCTTCTGAAAGTCTTGTAAGTTTGTGAACTGTGAACTAAGGGCTAGCCTGATCAGCAATCCCTGGGTGGCCTCTCCTCCCATCCTGACTCCAGGATCCCCCCATCCTCTGGGCCCGCATCCCCTCCCTCCAACTGCCAGGCCTCAGGTCTGTCTTCTGCTCCAGTTTTTGTCATTAGTCCCCAGAGGCCTGTGGCTGAAACTGGAGCCGGCCCGTCCGCAGTGCCAGGTGGAGCAATTGACTTGGGCCTTTTCAGCAAGGGCTTTGGGTTACCAGACACCCATCTGCTGGCTGTTCTCACCAAGGAAACGGGAGCCAGATCGGTCTCGCCCGGCATCTACCCTAGGCTTCCCTGCGTGCAGGGAGGAAGGGGATCTGCTGCACCTTCTGGTGCTTTCGCTACAAGCAGCTCCCCGGCGGCTCCCCAAAGCCCTTGTTATGAGCATCTCAGCCTCTCTGTGACAGCCCGCGGACGCTCTCAGGAGGAACACAGGCCTGAAGGAACAACGACCTCTTGCCTCCTGTTTCGCCTGCGGGCCTGGGCACCTGCATCATCTGTTCTTTTAAGACACACTCAACAGCCCATGCCTCCAAACGGAGACCAAACAGCCATCACCCTCCCAACACCCACTCCCGGCAGCCTGGACCACCTCTTGCTAGTCCTTTTCTCTCTATGGCTCCCAGGAACCCGGGGTTATTAACAGGGTTCTATACTAGTGATGAGGAATTTCGACCTTCTTAACGGTCATTTTAAACATTGTCATCAGAGTAGTACACCTATATCAACGAAGTCAAATGTACTACAAAGTGGTTTTTTTTTTTTTTGAGAGAGAGATTTTTGCATAGGGCACATGCACTTGCCAGAGAGAGAGA